TTCCTTATGGATGTTATTTTTTATATCCTCCCACAACTCATTTGGTCTACACTCATTGGTGTTCAAGGCCTCAAACCTGTTCTTGAGATGGTTTTGATAGTCGAGTGGAACAGACTTAAGGTCAAATTTTGGTTCCTATGGATTTGATTTTCTTCAACTTGAGGTGGAATTTGCATAGGAGTAGTTGGTAGTCTGTTCCACAATCAACACCTGGCCTGGTTTTCACAGCTGATATTGAGTTTCTCCGGTAATTCTTTCCAGAAATGTAATCAACTTGATTCCTAATCAATATAGCCTTCACTAAAATGGCTGCTAATACAATCCAAGAAATATTATAAGCAGTTTACAACTATATAACTTATTATTTGTAATTGATAATAAACATTACTAAGGAAAAACCTCACCAATTTTATGGGTAAATAAATGGCTGAAAAGATAGGTATGTTTGTATCAGTCATATTTAATTAGAAAAATGGAGAAACTAGCATTCTACAGTAAAAAATTAATAGTATAATGAAATATCTGTTAATCCAAACCAAACCATGGCCACTGAGTTCCAACTCTTCACTGGGTTTTCAAAGCTTATGGAGATTGTGCATCTTCCTCCTTCAGAGGGGCTGGTGGATTCAAACTTTAGATCTTTTGGTCAACAGCCCAATTTCATTACACAATATGCTGTTGAAGATCCTTAGACACCTAAAAATGCATTTTTATCAAACTGAAAATTCTCAGTTAAGTGAAAAAGATGACAAAATTGTTTAATAGACTGGTTACTGTTAGAGATGTCTGCTATCATCACCTAGAATAACACAATCACAGGTAATTTCCCCCCCCCCTTCCCTTTATTTACTATGTTGTCAGAGGGGTCAGTTTGTGGAAAAAAGACATCATGTTGGGAAAGGTAGAGGATTAACACAGGAGAGGAGAATTCTGGACAAAATGGATTGACATGGTAAGAAACAATGACTTTTTACAATGTGGTAACTTAGGCAGCACAGGACATGGCAACATTTAGGCCCACTGCTGATAGTTCCACTATGAGTCACAGTTGACTAAGGCACCAAACATTACCTGAAACACTTACTGCAAAAGGTCAGGGAGTATTGTCTTCATCATGGATTGAAACTCAACATCAAAATAGAGATTCTCACCACTGGACCAACAGGCAGCATAATATTAGATGGAGAAGAGACTGAAGTTGTTAGCCATTACAGCTTGGCTGGACCCACGGTCAACTCTTAACATCAGCAGTCAAGAAATCAAAAGACAAATTGCTTTGGGAAAATCTGTGATGGACTGCTCCAGAGTGATGAAGAGCAACAATGTCTGTCTAGAGACTAAGGTGCGCCTAATCCAGGCCATGGTCTTCTCAATTACTTGTTATGCTTCAGAGAGTTGGACAATGATTAAGGATGACAGAAGAAGATGCCTTCAAGTTGTGATGCTGGAGAAGAGACTTGAACATACCATGGACTGCCAAGAAAACAAGTTAGTCTGTCTTTGAGAAGGTGAAACCAAGTCTCTCCTTGGAGGCTACAATTTTGAAGCTCCACCTCACTTACTTTGGGCATGTGGCCAGGAGAGATTGGTCCTTGGAGAAGGACACTCTTGGAAGTATGGATGGAAAGCAGAGGAGAGTGAGACCCCAGATGAGATGGACTGATACAAAAACTGGGGCAATGGGGGTTGGTGTGTTGGAATAAGTGAGACTGGCACAGGACAGGGAAGGATACAGAGCTGATGTACATTGGGTTGCTATGAATTGCAGGTGACTCAACCAATAACATTCTACAACAGGTTTATTGTTACTTCCTAAACAATATGCCTCTGGAAACTCCATGAACTTTGGTAAATGTCAATAATTGTAGAGAGGCTTCAGGGCTTTGGCTCATGCTTGACTTTAAGTAATCAACAACAACACTGAATAATTAAAATTAGACCCTGGAGATGATGCTAACTTTGACACAAAAGTAAGAAATAGTTCTACACATCTGTAAAAACCACCATTTCTCGGGAATCTTAATAATATTTAAGGGACACCACTTTGTTTATCAAAAGAATTTATTATAAAATATTACACACAACATATGTTTTGAGTGTTTTCAGTAGACAGCACTCCATCTTTGTACTACACACACAATATCTCATGGACTGCGGGGGGGCCATCACTGTGTTCCTGAAGTGACATCTTTTGGATGGAACATTCAAGCAGTACACAATGTAGCCATTTAAAGACATAATGGGAAAATGTGATCATTATCGGGGGGAAAAAAAAAGAAATCACAAAGCTTTAGGGTATTAAAATAACAGCCAAATTTTAGTTTTGAAATTCTAGGCATCTGTATAACCAAACTATAGTCAATATGACTGGTATTTAAATAGACCAAGATTTCAATGGTCAACTTAATACTGACTTCTCGTAAATAACAAGAGCAATCTGTAACCCCACAAAATGTTTTTGATTGAGTTTTCACACATGTAAAATTCATATGGATTTTTAAAACAATAGAAAATATTAAAGCAATATATTTTAAAATATAGCATACCTTTTAGAATTTTTCTTAAATATTTCAAAATTTAACCCTCTCAAGACCTATTATTTTTTGCTTTGAATGATTTTCAGGAAATTATTTTCTGTCACAAAAGAAATTTTGAAGCAAATAATGGGGTGGGGGGGAGAAAGGCTTTTAAGGTAATAAAAATTATGATACAGTTAGTGGGACACGTAAGGCCCAAGGAGTCTGTTTAAACTCACATAGGCCTTCACTAGCTAGCAAATGCACTACAAATAAGATACCAGTCATCCAGTGAATCCCAGAGGCAGAAAACATAGAAGAGGACATTGTATATTTCATGGGTCTCAAAAGAGTTAAAAACCTTTTCTTTTAATTCAAAGCCAGTATCATTCTTCTTTAGCTATTTTTAGTGAAGTCTAACTAGTGTTCCAATCATATAAATGCCTGTCATTGTCAAGACAGGTAGAAATATTCCTGGGATTGCTCCCAAAGAGATGAGACTTTAAATCTTGGCCACATCACATAGTTTACTTTAAGAATATTTAGCTTTTTTTCAAAACCAAAAAAGATACAAAGTAAATTTTAAAATGTAATCTAATTCCCAAATGTTACTCAAAGTAAATGCAAGACAAACACACACTGTGGGATTAATCAGATTAGGCACAGCAATTTGCTACATATCTCTCAAGAGTGTGAATCTGGCTTAAGGAAAATAGACCAAAGTTCACAATTGTTATCAGAGTCCACAACTGACACAACCAAGGTGATGTGATTTAATATGTAAAACATTTTTAATATTTTATTAGAAGAAATACACTTTCAAACTTCTTTACCCATCATAATCTAGACATTAACTTTAATAAAAAAATTACACAAATCTGTAGAATACCATATTACAATTGTCCAGAAATGTATAATGATAATCAAAAACTGCTTGGAAGTATTTCTAACACTTTTTAAAGATTATAATTATACTCATAACCTAAAAAAGATTATGAATAAGAACAATCATTGGAGCCAACATTTCAAAATATTTTTTGCCTATCAAAGCTAGCACCAGGATAAGTATTATACGCACATAAACTTGAGAAACAAGATTACTCTTTACTTCAGAAAAAAAAAAAACCAAAACAAAACAAGCCTGCAGAATACTGCTCTCTAGACTATCTAGAAAAAGGGTCAGTTTGTCTCACTGAGGCATCTCTCTTAACTTTCCACAGTTCACATCTGATCTGAACAGCTTTCCAGTTACCTGATTTCTAGTCTCCAATGGAATAAAAGACTTTTTTTTTTAAAAATAGAGAACACATTGTTTTTCTTTCAAGATGCCAATTAAAATGCTATGTCTATAAAACTTTTAAAACATATTTTTAATAAAAATTAACATAATCAAGCACTTTAAAAAATAACCAAATATCTAGGCCTTGGAAGCCTAACCAACACCCATTATTTAATTTTTCTCCTTTTCCAAACACAGGTTTAGTAAGTATAAACTGCGTATAATTTTCGAACAGGGTTAATGACAGACCTACCATTTTTATTTTTATTGTAAAGAATTTGGGATTTTTCAAGTGTGAAAAATTCCACTCATGATTAAATATGCAGACCACCATGAAAGCCGGAGTGAGTCTCATTTCTACCTTCATCCCAAGGAAAGTCACCACTTAAAAGTAATCCTCTAGTTGGCACAAATTTTTACCTATAAAGGGAAGATACTGTATAAAAAGAAACAACTTTTACAAAGTTAACATTTTTCTCAAATCAGCCTTTTATGCAACAAAAACTTAAGACTTCTAAAACTGTAATACAGCATATCAAACTGCTCTTCTTAATTGAGGGGGGGAAAGGCACAAAAGAAAAACAAGCAGCATAATCTTTATTTGGTGATAAAATAAGTGAAGAGTGCTCTCCATTTTGAACAATAAATTTTACTCACGTGATTAGTTTTCTGTAGAACTTTACTCAGATGTGTGCTTCTTTAAAAATACACATTATGAACCCTGCAACTGGTATGCCCTGTTAATATTAGAAATATTTTCCATGGTAATACAATAACTTTCTATAGTTAGAAAGAAAAATCATAAAGATTATACTTTATTTTTAGCCTGACAGAATAAATGTTATATATATATATATATCTCTCCCCCAAAACCAGTACACTTAGAAATTTCTAATTTATGCACTTCATTGTTCAAATTAAAAAGCTATACATCTTCCAATATCCATAATATAACACAGTCATAGTAAAAATGCATATTCCTTTAAATCTTTTCCTTTACATTTATCTGGGAGGAAAAGGATATAGATGTTGCAGTGCAGAACTATATTTATTTAAAACAAAACATTATTATATCCTATATTAAAAAAAATAATTTTATCAAAACCAAATTTCAATCACAGTTGTGTATGATTTTCAGTTACTGTACAAGCTGAAATTGCACTTTGCAGATATCTTGATAGTGTCCTTCCAAAACACTCTTCAATTTAGCCTATGTTTTTTTCAGTAGATAAGGGCTCTTCCAGGCTTTTCTTCTGGCTTCCTTTCCGAGAATATTTGTATTTATCTACATAGGCTTTAACGAGATTTGCCACTTTAGTAGAATTTACTTCTCCACTCTTACTATGACAAACCTAAGAAAGAAAAGCAAAGTGAATGTGTGAAACATTTTCATACTTAGAAACATAAAAGCAATGTGAAAGCTTTGTTAAAAATAAATCAAGATGACCATTTATTTTCATTTGCTTTTTATATTTTATATCAAATTTTCCAAAATGGGGGGGAAAAACCAGACATAAATTATTAGGAGCTAGTTTTTATTATTTTAATGATACTTAAACATGCCATTATTAAAATACAGATGGTTTAAATGAATATGTAAATAATGTTACTAAAGTTACAACTCACTTTATCTACTGCTTTCCGTACAATCTCTTTATATTCCTCCTTGGTGATGTCTTTATTTTGGTAAAATGGTTTAATGGCCAATTTTACTTCCTGGGCTGCTTTTTCTTGAATCTGTAATTTCTGATAAGAGAAAAAGTGACATTAGCCAATCACATACTTAAAAAAAAGGAAATAAAAAATCCTGCACAGTTACATTGCTAGAAACCCTTCACATATTAGTGTGACAAACACAAAACACTTATTTACTAGCAAGCAGAAATCAAACATTTCTAAAGATAATTATAAAATATTAACAAATCCTCACTGAACATAAGCATATTTAATGGAAATCTTTTAAATATAATACTGGAACTGACACTATAAAGAATATATTCCCTTCACCCCTCACAAAAGAGAAAACATGTATTTTTAGATTTTTGTTTTTATCACAAACAGAATTATGTAGGTTGCTGTCAACCTTGAACTTGCCTTGTCTGTCTTCGAGCTATCTGCGCTGGCTTCCACTGTAACACTTACTTTGCTTTCTGCCAATTTTACAGCAGCATTAGAAGCTTTGCTGTGACTTGATGACGAAGTATTACCAGAGCTTGGTCCCTGAACTGTCCCCACATTTCCTGGGGCTGCTGTTGGAGCAGGAAAGACTGGTGTACTCACGTTATTACTTACATGAGAAGCACTGGGAATACCCTGTGGTAAAGAGTTAATGAATTTTTCCGTTAATTAATTACTTAATTACACTCTTATAGTCATGTATGAGAAATAGTACTAAAATATAAACAGTGATTCAACTTTAGTTGTTTTTTTTTAAAATTTATTTTTAAAATTTTTATTATTTGCGTGTATGTGTGTGTACCGTCAAATCTGATTTGACTGGTACAGGAGGAGATGGTTCCTCCTTCTCCAGCAAAGCATCTGGTGGATTTGAAACGCACACCTCTCTCTGGGTGCAGCTTCTTGCCACTAGGCCACGAGAGCTCGCCTCAACTTTAGTTTTTAAAAGAGAAATGCATACTTCAGGTCACTGCTTTATTTACAAAGTACCTGATTTTTAAAAAACGAGGCGCGTTCTCAAACAGAGCCAGATAAATGTTACAATGACTTTAAAATGACTTAAAATCATGGTAAAGCTCTAGAAGCAACACAAAAAACAAGCAGAAAAACAGAAATTAAAGCTAAGCATCTTTCCATAAGATTCTTTACAAATATTAATTAAGCATTACACAGGCGAAAATGAGGCAGCCAAGTGGCTTGCAGTAAATTAGTAGCAGAGAAATAGATAAGATCCAAAATTATGGAATCACACTGTAGTGTATTTTGTACTGTATTTCCCTGTAATAACTCTAGAATTTCTGAAATGTAGAAAGTTAGAAGCAACAATGCCTGCAAATATGTACATTTTCTCTCTGTAAAATTACTACATTTTCCCCATTGATTATTTTTTGCGAGGCAAAGTCATGAAAATGAAACAGAGACTATAATGGATAATAAACATATTTTCCTGATGTTTGTCCAAACTAGACAATACAAGCTTCGTTACTATACTTTATTACTAGTTACTATTCCCCAAATTCTAATAAAAGAGAAATTTTAAAAGTGCTACCACTTGATTCTACTTTGGAGTTCTTATTTGATCAAAGCATTTAGAATTTCCATGTGGTCTCCCATCCTAATATTTGCCAAGACAGATTCTGCTTAGCTTCCAAATCAGACAACATTGTTGAAGTTTAGGCTATTCTGGTCTTAGGGGTCTCTTGTGGCCTAGTGGGTAGGAAGCTGCGCTGTTAACCTAAAGGGGGTGTGTCTCTGTTGGCTGACAGGGCAGAGATGGGAAATCTCCTCCTGTGTGATATAAAAACCCTGGAAACCCACTGGAGGGTCTGTAATGGGTCAGATCTGACACAATGAAATGAATTTTTTTTTTAAAAAAACCCGACTAAAATATTGATCTGGATATAAATATTAAATATCAACTAATAAAGTCTTTCGTTAATTTTTTTAAGGGGTGATAATTTGGAGATGGGTATCATGTTTGGAAGGGTCAAGGGACAGCACAGACAGAGGAGAAACTTGGGATGAGAAGACTGACAAAATAACAGGGTTAATGAGGATAAGTGTACAGAGACAGAGAGACTGGCTCAGGACAGAGCAGAGTTCAGAGCTATTGTGAATTATTGTTGTTGTTGTTGTTATGTGCCATCGAGTTGCTTGCAACTCTTAGCGACCCTGTGTACAAGAGCCCTAAATGTCATTCTATTCTGTGCCAACCTCATCGTCTCAAAGACACTCATTCCCACCACTCTACTCATAGAATCGATTCATCTCATCGAGGGTCTTCCTCTCCTGCACTGTCCCTCCACTCTCCCAAACATGATGTCCCTCTTCAAGGACCAGTCCCTCCTTCCTACATGCCCAAAGAATGTCAGATGAAGCTTCAGAATCCTTGACTCCAAGGAGCATTCTGGCTTCACCCTCTCCAGGACAAACCTGTTTGTTCTCCTAGCAGTCCATGGTATATTCAACACTCTTCTCCAGCACCACAGCTCAAAGGCATCAACTCTCTTTCTATCAACCCTATTCACCGTCCAGCTCTCCGATATTGTGCACAGGGTCACTATTAAGTCACGAGTGACTTGATGACACATAACAATAATGGGTATGTAACTGAGGAAGGGCAATGAAAGTGTCATTATGAATGTTTACCACAAACGTAATTAAAAAATGATTTTGGACACTTCTTGTTGTGGTGTGCCTCAGAACAAACTCATTACTGACCCTCCAGTGGGTTTTCAAGTGCAGTTAAGTCACATGGGAGGAGACTGTCCATTCTTCTCCCATGGAGCTGGTGGATTTGAAATCACATGCCTTTGGTACTGCAGTACAGCTTCTTATGACCAGACCAAGAGCGCTTCCTTGCGGACATTGTGGTTGTCTATCATCTAGTCACAACGGACTTAAAGCTGACCCTCCAGTAGGTTTTCAAAGGCAGTTTAACTGCATGGAAGGAGATTGCCCATCTTTCTGAAGGAGATTGCCCTTCTCCTGGGGAGCAGCTGGTGGCTTAGAATTGCATGTTTTTGGGATTGTAGAGTGGCTTCTTACAACTTATGCCACTAGAGTTCCTTTCTGGACACTAGAAAGACTAATTAATAGCCACATTTTTACAATGATAATTAAATTTCAGTTGTCAAAAACATACCTGCAATTGTTTTCCATCTGGCTGTGAAGTAATGTAGTTGATTTGCTGGGATGGTGGGGGAGGAGGTGGTGGTGGAGGTAGTCCCTGAGACACAGTGGGAGGTGCAGCTACCTGCATGATAGGTACCCCTGGATGGAGATGCAAGGGGAGCTGAGGATGAATGTTATATGGATTGCGCTGTATGTTCATCATAGGAGGATGAACACCCATTGGATATGGGAAGATATTCATAGCCTGGTGGTGTGCATTCATTTGTTGCTGCATTACATTCACTTGTGGTTGCATCATATTCATAGGTAGCTGAGAACTATCACCTTGCTGATTTGTTTGGTCTTTTAGGTTAGAATCTATTAAAGAAGAAGAAAAAAACAACCTCTTGTGGAAAAAAGATCATGCTAAATATCTCTTTAGACAGAGACCTATTGTGTATATAAAAATTAAGTACAGTTTAATAGGTTTTCTATAACAATATCAATCTTTAGTTCAACCCTATCATTATCAAATATGAGCTTATTTTCAAACTAAAATAATATTCAATAATTTTTAATAATGGTTTCATATGATAAGATTCATTAAATAATAGTTCAAGAAACTTGTTGAATGCTTAAATAACTTTATAAAACTTGGTTATAGAAGTAGAAAGTATGGCTTTTTAAATTTTCAACAGCTCATGTTATTAGCAAAAAGTAATGGTAAATCTTTGTTATAAAAGTGACATGTCTAAAACAATTATCAGAAAATTTTCCAATTGTACACATCTGCAATAAACTGAGGTTAAATCCTGCCCTGGAACACACCAAACACTGCTAATAGAATTTAAAATACAGAAATTATAAATAAAAGCACATTTCAACTCCTACAAACAGGGCATTGAGCTTATAATCTTTCTTCAAATAATACAGGATTAGTAAACAGAAACTGTTACCCTGTTCAGTTGTTTCCTCTTCTTGTCTCATCCATCCAGACTGTGAGCCTGAAGAATTCCTCCCTCTTCGTGAATAATAGTTCTGTACATCTGCTGGGAGAGTCTTTCTCACAGCCCAACTAGATGCAGAAGTCCACCCAGACCTATCTGCTGGTGTATCAAATGAGAATTCTTGCTCATTTTTCCGCTTATTGGGTTGCTGCTCCACAAACTTGAAGGATTCATTCCCTGAACTATTCGAATTCCCTGAAAGGGGTTTTCGGTTTTGCCACCGATTTTCATTCTGATCTGTGTAAGAAAAGCCACCTCTGTAAGAGCCTCTGCCACGGTTACCTCTACCACGATTAGACATCCAACCCGAACCAAAGTTTTTATTCCAAGAATTCCCTGAAAAATTTTCATTTCTATTTTCTTCCCAGGGAGCGTCTTTTAATTTTTCTGGATTTCTGGTCCTTGGATCAAGCCCTGAATTTATTTTTTCTGTTACCCAAGTGGGACAGTCATTTCTGTGTTTGTCAGCACTTGGATCATCAGCATCTGAGATGTTATTTTTCTCTTTTCTTGTATTTTCATTTTGTTTCTCTAGGTCACTCTTTCTGTACCGATCATTTCCTCTAGGACATCTCCAACCATCATTTGTCCATCTTTCCTTCCATCGAGGAGAGTAATTATCACTTCGTCCAAATGTTGTGCTCTTGCTTTTTGTTCTAGATCTGGCTGGTGATCTAGAACGAGATCTAGATCTAGACCATTTTCTGGTTCTCCTTTCTCTATCTCGATCTCTCCTTTGTCCGTCTCTATCACTTTCTCTGCTTTGGGACCTGGCTTTTTCTCGTGGAGAGGAATCTTTTACTCTTGACTGAGAACTTTTGTTCTCTCTAGAAGTGTCTCTTCTTGGAGATAGTGATTCAGATTTTTTTACTTCCTTTGTGCTATCTCTTTTTGGAGATGGAGATTTCTTCTTTTCTCTTGTGATATCCTTTTTGGGTGACTGAGAACGAGATTTCCTGCGTCCTCTTTCAAATTCCTTCTTGGGAGAGGGTGACTGAGACCTCCTGCTCTCTTTTCCAGTTTCTTTTTTAGGAGATGGAGACTGAGAGCGTTTCTTTTCTCGAACAGTGTCTTTGTTGGGGGACCAAGTAGTAGAAGGGGAATGAAATCTCGACCTCCGAGTACGAGGCCTTTTTACTTTATCTACTGTATCTTTTGGACTCTCAGATGACTGACATACAGTTTCAACTTTTTCATTTGTAGGGTCTGATGACAGCATATTATTTTCAGAACTATGCGCCAAAGAATTTTCATTCAATTGCTTTGAATCAGCATTTACAGATGGTATAATTTCAGTTTCATTCTGGTTACTACAAAGTGATTCACATTCCATGGGGACCGTATCATTACTGTCCTCACTAGAATGCTTCTGTGTCTCTTCAGTTTGTGTGTTAGGCAAATCTGTAGTTGGTAGATATTTACCTGGCGATCCAGTTTTTTCTTCTAAACATTTGTCTAATTTTGTACTGTCAAGATCATTCTGTAATACATTATTTTCAGAGTCTTGAGTATTACTGAAATTTTCATTTCCTGAACTATTACATTGAGCAATTATTTCTGTATCTTCAGTTTCAATAAGCTGAAGCAATTGAAGGTGTGAACTCTCATTGTTGTCTAATGTTTGTGTATTTTCACTCTCAGAAGAGTTTAACTTGGTACTCTCTACAAGTGGTTCTGTTTTTACTGTAGAATCTTTATGATCACTAATTTCTACTATGGGACTCTCTGTATTTTTTTCTTCATGACTTGTTGACTCTATATTCTCAGGCAACTCACAAATAGGACTAGATTGTTGTACTTCAATTTCAGGTACTGAACATTTAAGAAAATCATTTGGAGGAAGATCAGTGCATGGATCTGTCTTTATTTCTGATTCTAATTGTCCAGATATTTGGTCTTGGTTTTCTAAAAACTGAGTTCCTTCTTCAGAAATATTTTTAGAAACGTCACTTTCTACACACAAAACAGCCTCTATACTTGTATTCACCACTTTTTTAATTTCTTCCTTCTCTTCAACACGCACAGGAAGATCTTGGGTAGAAGATTCAAGATGCAAAGACTTCACTGGTTCCTCCGCCTCATGGTTCTCATTCTGTGTCTCACTTCCATCTACTCTATGCTCAGTGTCACTTCTCAGGCCATTCGTGGTCTGGTTTTCTGCATCGGTCTGCACAATACAAGTGTTACTACTTTCTAAGTTTGATGGATGCTCTTTCTCTAACACAGCTGGTGTGTCAGACTCTGCTGTTTCTTCATCTACTGAATCACCAGAAGATGATTTTTCAGGGGGAGGTATGGCGCTCCGTAATTTCTTTTTCAGTAAAGGTGGTTTTCTCCCTCTTCTCACAGATTTCCGTTTTGGAGCCTGTCTAGTTTGCTTTTCTGACTCAGGTGGAGAAGAAACATGTACAGATGGATTATTGTTATCTGGAGCATCACATCCAGAATTATTTGACAGTGGAGAATTCTGAGACTGACTGATTGTTTCAGCTCTTGTGTTACGTGTAGATCTCCTTGTAGGAGTTGTTGTTGCAGGTTTTCGTCTTGATCCTCTGGTATTTGATGTGCCAGAAGTTTGCTTCTTCTCTTCTCCTTCTTGCGTATGTGTTAATGCATATTCCTTCCAATAAGTACCTAATAATATTTAACAGATAACAAAGTTTCAGTAAATGAAAAGTATAAAATTTCAGCTAATTTTCGTATAAAAGGAACATCTATAACAGATTAAAAGAAAACATAATGGTAAACCAAACAAATTAATAATAATACACAACTACTAAGAGCCTAGTAATAGGAGGAATTTATCACTTTCTTATAATGCTACTGAAATAAGCAGTCATCAAATTTGGATATATGTGCACAATTTTAGAGAGAATATATGTTTGATCTGTTAAGTACTGTCTGCTTTCTCAATTGGTATTACCCAGTCAGAAGGCAAGAAAAACTGACAAACTATCCACAAATAAAAGATAAAAGCTTTTGGTTATTCATAAGTAATCAACAGAGGACATTACCTTTTAAACCTCTATGGTTTGAATGCTAAAACCCTAAACAGAAGAGAGTCTTCTAATCAGTAGTTCCTTGAAATCTTAGGGTTTTAATTTTTTAAAGGGAAATATCTAGGACTTATTGAACCTAATTTTATAACTTTTTATTATCAACACTTTCTTTTTATGAAACTGAAATAGGATGATAATAATAAACAACTTGAAAACATTTCATAAACTTTACCAAAATTTTCTAAAGATATGTCGGTACTTGTCGGAAAAATAGTTTGTGGCAACACGGAAGAGAAGACAGGAAAGACTTCAGTTTCAACATCACAGGGTATAAGACCATTTCTGAAAATTTAAGACAAAAATATTTTTATTTTACTAGTTTTAAAAATTAAACTACCAATTTAAAAACTATTAATTCTGCATATAGGGTTAGCAATTTTAAAATACAGGGCTAAAATTTCTTTTTTCTGCCAAACAACTAAAATTGTAATTTTATAGTTAATTCAATGTTCAAAGATGGCTTAGGAAGCTATAAAAAATTTTTTAAAGCCTGTTTCCCCTTTAAATGATGGCAAAAGGAGATTAAGGGCAAAATAAAAAACAAGTAAGGTTTTTTTTTTAAAAATAAGATATTTAAATCACTATTTCAGGGTAAGCAGTGTTTCCATGCTACTTTCTCTTTTCATTCTTTTTTGATTCATAGCAAAGTTCATAGTGAATAAAGCACAGAGAATACAGTTTTGATGACTTTTAAGTGAAGTATGTGTCTGTAGAACTACCATCTAATCAAGAATAAGGTAGCTCTGGTGGCCTAGTGGTAAAAAAATGCACTGTAATACTGAAAGCACAGTCTGAATCCACCAGTTGCTCCATGGAAGAAGAATGGGCAATCTCCCCCCATGCAATTAACTGCCTCTGAAAATCCACTGGAAGGTCAGCTATGGGTCAGTTCCAACTTGATGGTACCAAAGAATAATCAAGAACAGAATATTCTTAACCACCAAAGAAAAGTTCGATCACATTCTTCTACAACCTCTCTCCTCTAAATTCAGGTAAACAAGGTACTAATTTCTATCTCTAAATTATATTTAAAAATCTTTGATTTAAAATCAGTGACTGCAAAGCTTCCAGTGTACTCACTGAACTAAGTCCCCTGAAGGGTTTTTTTTTGGTTTTTTTAAATCCAAACTCAATCTACTCTCAGCTTTTTTTTTTCTGATAAATTCTTTTTTCCAACTTCAAGGAATCCTCAAGAGGTGCAAATGGTTAAGTGCCTGACTAGCAGCCAAAAAAGTTTAGTAGTTCAAACCTACAGAGAGGTACCTTGGAAGTCAGGACTGGCAATCTATTTCTGAAGGAACATACCATTGTAATCCAGCATCACACAGATTTACTGTGACACACATGGAATTATTAGGAGTCATAAATGACTTCAAGGCAACTAACAAGACTATTTTCATGCAATATACTGTTGAGATACTGAAGATGTAGGAGAGAAGCTTGAAAAATAATGTGCAGTTTGTACATTTACAAAAATACATCACTAAAGAAAGATTCCACATTATAGATATTGGAATTTCCTAATTTTATTTCTATTAATGTCCCACTGTCTTTCCAGTAAGAGTGAAAGTTTTATGCAAAAATATAACAACAACAAAGACAATAAAAGAAGATCAAAGCATGTTAAAGAAATGAGCAGGTACATCAATCTTTACCTTGAAGCTTGTTTTAAGTATTTTAAGTATTTGTTGAGTTACATATGACTCATAGTGATCATATGAACAAAAGATGTGAACCCTATCCTATCCTATCCTATCCTATCCTGTACCATCTTTATCCCTAAAACACTTGAGGCCACTATAGAGATGAAGGTCATCCTCTCCTTTCCAAGCATGATATCCCTCTCCAAGAAGTAGCCTCTCCTAACAATATGCCTCAAGTATTCGAGATGAAGCTTCACCATCCTTGCATTCTAGGGATCACTCTATTTGCTCCTTCTCCAAGGCATATTTTTTTTCTTTTGGCAGTTCACGAGTATAGTGTCAGAAACCCTAAAAACTGGGTTTTTTCCCCCTAGCCATTACACATTGGCCTGCTGGGGTAGCATGGTCTCACAAATCATCAATAGCTGTGGGACCAATGTGTGTGTGTGTGTGAGACACAGACACCCCCCCCCCCCAAGGATACTTGTATGTGTGCTAATGAAATGAAAATAACTTTCATCATTTAGGGAAATGTGCCTGGTTGATCTGGCTTGGGACTGCTGGACTAAACCCTGGACTTACATTGGGTGATATTCTTTGCCTCCTCCATTCCCCAATCCATTTCTCTAATAAACGCCACAACTGAGAGTAGTCTCTTGGTCAATAATGAATATCGGACCCGAATAACTGATAGAGGGGGGTGCAAGAGCCTGGGAGGTGACATGTCTGACTGAGCACTGGTTTGTTTCTATGGATATTACCAACAGGGACAGTTCTCCTATATGAAGCAGGTTGAAATTGGACTAGGCCACTCTCAAACTGCATCTGTTCCTTCAGCAATGGGATATCAATTGTTTTCCTCCAGCACTGTATCTCAAAGGTATCATTTCTTCTTGCATCTAATGACGTGCTAGCAGCTGGAGGACTTATAAAACAATTAGTATTATTAATAGGTTTCAATAAGTCCATAACGTAATTGAGAAAATGGGATGTTATTTGAATGAAGTCAAGAACTTAGTGATGATGGAACTAGTTAAGGAACTGAATGATGAGACTAGTTCTACCAATGGAGTAAGAAGATAACTGGAAACAAAAATGAACAGCAGGGATTTTACCTATAATAATCGATGGAGGAGTAGCTTGAGTTGAATGGCAATCAAAAAAGAAAGACAGACAGGACTAGGCTAAATGAAGTCATGAATACCAAGGCAGAGAAGGATCTTAATTATTAATGCTAACAGCAATACACCTTTTGCTCATTTATTGGCAAAATTATGTTCTAAAGACCACCAGGTCATTACATGATTAGGGAGAATAACCACTCAAAAAATAGAAGATGAGGACATTACTACTAATTGCCAAACCACTGAGAAGAATGGCCCATTCTTAATTATCATAGTCAGCATTATTCTTACCTTACACTCTGGTGTTCTCCAATATCAGATTTTGAAAAATAAGAATTTTAACTACTATCATAAATATGAACTGCTGGACAAAAGATAGTCACTAAGTGAGGAGAGAGTGTAATAAATCTCACTATTCAATGATTCTGCCTTAAGGTGAGATTAGCATATAAATCCAGTGAAAAGTTGAAGCACTTACTGCAGATTAAAAATTATAGCCTTCAATATGGATTACATATCAACATTAAAAAAAAAAAATTCTCATCACTAGACTAACAGGTAACATCATGATAGATGGAGAAAAAAAACCTGAAGTTGTCAACAATTTCTTTTTACTTGGATCCACAAATGATATGTTGCACTGGGAAACTCTGCTGTCAAAGACCTCTCCAAAGTGCTAAAGAGCTGGAGGCAAGTTTAAGGATTAAGGTATACCTGATAAAAGCTCTGGTATTTTCAATTACTTCCTATGTACCTGAGAGTCAGACAGTGAAAAAGAATGAATTTGAATAGTGATATTGGTCAAAAGTACTGAACATCTCACTAACTAATAAAAGAACTAAAAAAGTCGGTAGTGGAGAAATTGCAACCAAGGTGCTGCTTAGAAATTGCAACTGCTGGTGGAACTTCATCTCACAAACTTTTGGCATGTTGTTAGAAGACCACCTAGAAAAAAGAGATAATGCTGGGGAAAAGTAGAGGGTCAGCAAAAGAGATGAAGATCTTCAATGAAACGAATTGACACTGTGATAGTAATAATAAGCTTGAACATCATGAGAGTGGCTCAAATCTGCTGTTTACAGGTCACCATGAGCCACAGTTGACGGAATGGCACTTAACAACAACTACAGCATATAAATATCTCCATTTATTATACAGAAAAAACCATATTTTATGAAAGGTCTTTTAAATAGCAATCAATCTTGTTGTTATGTGCAAATGAGCCACTTGTAACTCAGTGACCCTATGTATAATAGCTCTGAATCGTTCTCTATCCTGTGCCAAGCTTACTTTCTCTGACACACCTAGCCCCATTACCCTAGTCACAATCAATTCATCTCATCAAGGGTCTTCCTCTCTTGTGTTGTCCTTACACCCTCCCCAGCATGATGTCCTTCTCCAAGGACTGGTTACTCTACTCCTTGCAACATGCCCAAAGTATGTGAGATGGAGCTTCAGAATCCTTGCCTCCAAGGAGCAGCCTGGTCTCACCCTCTCTAGGATGAACCTGTCTTAGCAGTCTGTGGTATATTCAATACTCTTCTCCAGCACCACAGTTTAAAGGCATCAATCTTCCTTCTATCTTCCTAGTCATTGTCCAGCTTTCTGACGCATATCTAGTAATTGCAAAGACTATGGCCTGGATCAGATGCACCTTTGTCTCCAGACTGACATCATTGCTCTTTAGTACTCTGAGGGGTCACTAACAGCAGACATTCCCAATGCAATTTGTCTTTTGATTTTCTGGCTGATGGTACCAAGAGTGTTGACTGTGGATCCAAGCAAACTAAAGCCGTTAACAATCTCAATCTCTTCACCGTATATCATAATGCTGGACATACTGACTTTTTTACTTTGGGACCATATAAAACAATTTCTACTAAACACTTGGAAGAAAAAAAAAACAAACAACCCCTAACTTTTCATGTTGTTGTGTACCACTAGTTGGAATTAATCCATAGTTTGCCGTCCAGTGGGTTTTCAGAGCCAATTAATCACACTGGTGGAGATTACCCTTTTTTTTTCCCATGCAGCAGCTGGTAGATTCAAACTGCATGCCTTCAGGACTGCAGTGCAGATTCTTATCATTAGGCCAGCCGACTTAATTTGTAAACAAGTTCTTCAGGAATTCATCATTTAAGACTGATGTGTTTTCTGCTTAAAGTATTAATAACTTCTTGCATTCATTTTAGTATGTAATACTTTAGTGTACACACACACACACACACACACACACACACACACACACACACTCTTTACCTTCCAATTCCAGGCAGTGTATCACGAAACCAAGACAATTCCAGTTCCTGTCTTTTCTGCCTAATCACTGTAGTGATTTCACCGACTTCTATAAATTCTGTACTAAAAGATAAATATTAGACTTTAATTAGAATTCTAAAAAATGTTAAAAATTGTAAGAAAACTTCTCACAGTACAGAAGTTTTCTAGCATTATGAATACCAATTAAAGGAATAAAAACTGTTTTCTATTTAAAGACTTTAAAAATGAACACATAACAGCAGTAAAGTGACATAAAATTCATTTTTCTGATCCATAAAAATGTTTGAATTAACATCACAAATAATAGAGTGACAAAAGTTAATTTAGACTAATATCCTTATGTCCCATGCATCAAAGTATCAGTAAGCACTTCAGGAAATTTCAGATATTTTAGCTGCAATAGCTTTCCCTCTGAACTTAAACACACATGGGGGAAAGAAAAAAGATGAGTAACAAAAGAAAAATAGGAAAGTTTAACTTATTAAAAGGTGTCTCAACAAGTAATTGTTTTCTTTGTTATCTTGTTAAATTCTAAAATTAAGTCACACAATATTATTCTTAGTGGTTTAACCAACTCTATATGATTATAAACCCCAAATTAAGTTTATATTCCACAAATACGGATATGTCAGCCACTATGGATTTAAAAATGAATATGCTTTTCTCTAGTGCACAAAAACTTGTGTAAAAAAACTTGACAATAACAAAAACAAAGTGCATCTGACAAAGGCAGCCTCTGTATAACAGAAAGGCTCATAAAATTAACAAGTGTTCTCACTGTCAGGGCTAACTTATTTATTAAAATATGAAGTAAGCATTTCATGACTTTTGCTGGAGCTAGGAGCTTAAGTTTCTACTGAAAATTAATCATTATGATTAAAATAACATATAAAAACCATTATCAATTCAAAGTAGAAAATACTAACCAGTATGCTTTATGAGTATAAGAAAATTCCCCAGTGTGACTACCAGAAGAAAATACATTGAAGAAAAAATTTCTGAAGCACTGATTTGTAGAGTTTGAACTTCGAGGCTAGAAAAGGGAAAAGTGGTTAATGAAATAAACAAAACTTCCATAGTAAAATAAAAATATTTGATAAACTGAAGCACAGTATATAATTATTAAGCGATATTATCAAAGAATTTTACTTCAACAAACCTTATTTCTTTTTTCATTTTTCTTTTCTCCTGTTTCACTGTACAAAGAGTTTCCTGTACAAAGATACAAAAAAATTTGGGCTACTTTATCTTAATACCATAAATAAGGAGAACCACATTTCTGCTACTCACAGTACTCACGTCATCCAAATTAGTACCTTCTCCCTTTAAACTTTGTAATTAGAATGAAAAGTAGATGTAGTTTCAGATAGAGCTTTCTGTTTCAATGTAGTCTTTATGCCATTTGACTTGTTTCTCTGTTCTGCTTTATCTTTCCCATCTGGAGATTTATTATCAGAAGTTTTAGTCTTTTTCTTAGAAAAAAAAATTCTTTATCTTCCAAGATAAGGGATAGTTATTGTTAATCGCAAAAATTTTATTAACATCTTTGTAGATTATTGCTCTTAGTTTTTACTTACTATCAGGACACTGGATCTAATCAATAAATCTATGACCTGTAATAACTTGGGGTGCTGGTTTTACTAATGATCTTTCCTTAAAAAGTCCACTATGCAAATGACTTTTAGGTTTCAGCTCAACATACGACACAAGAGTTACTGACTTTTCTTCTTAATATTATAGACAGTGGCATTTACCATTTCTTCTGTCAGTCTATTTGAAATCAGTCAACTTTCTATTTAACATCACACATTGTTATGTGCCATCGAGTCGCCTGTAACTCATAGTGACCCTATGTACAAAAGTTCTAAACCTTGCTCTATCCTGAACCAACCTTATTGTCTCCAACAGACCTACCCCCATTCCTCTAGTTATTGAGTCAATCCACCTTATCCAGGGTCTTCCTTTCTTACGCTGTCCTTTCATTCTCCCAAGCATGATGTTCCTCTCCAAGGAATGGTCCCTCCTTGCCACATGCCCAAAGTATGTCAGCTGGAACTTCAAAATCCTTGTCTTAAGAAGTAGCCTGGTTTTACCCTCTCTAGGAAGAATCTGTTTGTTTTCCTATCAGTCTATGATATATTCAATACCCTTCTCTAGCACCACAGCGCAAAGGCATAAATTTTGCTATTATCCCTAGTCATTGTCCAGCTTTCTGATGCATAGCAAGTAATTGCAAAGACCATGGCCCAAGTCAGGTGCACCTTGGTCACCAGGCTGACATCGTTGTTTTTCAGTATTCTGGAGAGGTCCCTGACAGTAGACTTTCCAGTACAATTTTTCTTCAGATTTCCTGGCTGCTGTTCCCAAAGGTGTTGATTGTGTTAGCCAAGCAAACTGAAGTTGTTAACAATCTCAATCTCTTCATGGTCTATCACGATGTTGCAAATCATCCCAGTGGTGAGAATTTTTGTTTTCTTGATGTTGAACTGCAATCCATATTGAAGGCTGCAGTCCTTGACCTTCTGAAACAAGCGCTTCAGGTCCTCTTCAGTTTCAGCAAGCAAGTTTGTGACATCTGCATAACACAAGTTGATAAGGTTTCCTCCAATCTTGATGTCACACCTTTCCTCATAGAGCCCAGCCTCCCAGATGATCTGTTTTGCATCCTCATCTTGAAAAGGTACGGACATAGGACACATTCCTGGCATACTCGCTTCCCAATTTTGAACCATGCAGTGTTTCCCTGGCCCTATTCTGATGACTGCTTCCTGATCCAGAGGTATGAAACAGGGTTTTATCCTTTCTCCATACCTACTCAGCCTATGTGCTGAGCTAATAATTTTAATCATACTATGTGAAGAATAATGTGGTATCAACATCGGAGGAAGACTCATTAACAACCTGCATTATGGAGATGATCTACCTTTTATTATAAGTCTAGTAGTCTGATATTTTATTTGCTTTCTGTTAGGGGGAAATGTTCTTATATGCATTTTACAATCTAAAAGCTTCAATCAATTATTATTTTCAATGAGATTTGGTCCTTTTACTAAAAAAATGGCATTGATAGAACAACTTCTTGGTCTAGGTATAGGTTTCACATGAGCACAAATAAGCACTGGGATTCCCATTCTTTTCAATGTTAGCCATAATTTACTATGATCCATACAGTCAAATAACTTTGAAGATTTACTTTAACAACAACAACATCTCTTTCTAGTACTTGCTGCTGTTAGTCAAGACCCATCTGACACCAGCAATGATATCTTTTCTTCCATTTTTTTTCTGAATCCAACTTGAATTTCTGGTAGTTCCTGGTCAATGTATACTTCCATTCTTATATCTGCCTGTGATTATATAATTTCCACACTCTTTGTGTTCCTCTTTTTTTCGGGGCTGTGAACAAATATGAATCTTTTCATGTCAGTTGATCAGTTAGCTGTCTCTCAAATTTCTTAGTATAAACTAGTGAAAACATCCAGGCCTACATCTGTTTGTAGGAATATGTTAATTGGTATTCCATCAATTTCTGGGGCCTTATCTTTTGTCAACCTGAAGCCACACACAGTGTGGGGGGAAAATGGGCAATATCTTCTCATTACTGCCTCTGAAAACCCACTGGAGGGTAAGCTATGGGTCAGTTTTGACTTGGTAGTATGTAACAATATTTTGTCTTTACCTTCAGGGTAGTTTGTACATGTTCATTATCACTGGTTCTTGATTATATTCTACTTCCTGAAATGTTTTAGTGCCAAGTAATTCTTTTTGGGACAGTGATTCTGTAATTTCCTCTATCTTCTCTTGATTCTTCCTGCATTTTTAATATCCTGCCCATGGAATCCTTTCACTATTGCAAGTTGAGGCTTGAATTTTTAATTTCTCTCAACTTAAAAAATGCAAAGAGCATTCTTTCCTTTTGTTTGTCTTCTTGAGCTGCCCTCTGACATCTTCTGTTCATCTCTTCTGACATTTCTTTCCTCTGTTTTGGCAGCTTTGCATTCTAGTGCAATTTTCAGAGTCTTTTCTGACACATATGTAGGCCTTTTCTTTCTCCCCGTCCTTTCTTTAAGATGATATTCTGGATGTCATCTCACAACTCATCTGGTCTTCAATTAGTGCTCAATACATACTTGTTATGTGCCATTGAGTTGCCTGCGACTCATTAAAACCCTATGCACTACAGCTCTGAACCCTGCCCCGTCCGGAGCCAATCCATCTTCTCTAATATACATAATCCCACTTCTCCAGAAAGAGAGTCAATCCCTCTCATCCTGGGTCTTCCTCTTCTGCGCTGTCCCTCCAGCCTTCCAAACCCAACGTCCTTCTCCAAGAATTGGGAACACCTGGATACATGCTCAAAGTATGTAAGACAAAGCTTCAAAATCCTTGCCTGTAGGGAAGAGCTTGGTTTAACCCTCTCTAGGACAGACTTGTTTGTTCTCTTGGCAGTCCATAGTATATTCAACACTTTTCTCCAGCACAACTCAAAGGCATTGATTCTTCTTCTATTTTATGCATAGTCACTGTCCAGCTCTCTGTAGTAATAACTAAATACAAGCTATTTTACATGGCATGCAGTATTTAAACTCAAAGAAGAAAAAGCATTTACGTTAAAGCTGTAAGACAGGGTGTAATTTTCCAAAAGGTAACTCAAACTCTGGCTTTGTAGTCCAGGCCCCAAAAGTGAAAAAAGTAAAATAATGGAAAAATTAATTGCACTGTCAATAAGTACTCAGCTTTCCTGAAATCAGCCTAGACTGGCTCAGTTAAAACACTTACTCATAATTCCCAAGGCAACTATATTCTTTCATTATTGTTGCTGCTGTTAAATTAAATAAATTAGATTTTTGACTCAGTAATCTCACGTAATTTCCCATTGGGTTTTTTTAAATTATAATCAACACCGAAGCATGCCACCAAATATATTTCCTGTAAAGATGCTGAGTGGGTTCAAACTGTCAACTTTTTGGTTAACAGGGAAATGATTAACCACTGTGCCATCACCTAATCTCAATTCACTGCCACTGATCTGGAACGAACTCATAGCTGATTCTCCAAGGGTTTTTAGAGGCTGCAAAGTGTACAGGAAGAAACAGCCCACCTTTCTCCTATAAAGCTGCTAACGGATTAGAACCATTAGAGAGGTACAGCCTTTTGGTTCATTTCATGGTACAACTTCCTACAGACTATGCTGCCACTACACCATCAGAGTTCCTTTATTCTCATATTACACACTCATAAAGCAAAATGAGCATTTCCCCCTTTTCTAAAGCAAACAAATGACTTCTGGTGTTTTACCTTAATATGGCATTAAGTTGAAAGTATTCAGCAATATTATATTCTGGCATAACAGTTTTTTAAAATATAAATTCAATTATAAAGTACTATAATTAATTAATTCCAAGTTAGCTTCCTAAACTAAACTCACTGCTTCTAAGTTGGTTCCAATTCACAGCAACTCTCCTTCTCCATTTGGCAGGTTTCTGAGACTGTAAACGTTCATAGGAGTAGACTGCTTACTGTCTCCCACAGATAAATCTTAACTAGTGACCTTTTGGTTTATGTTACATACCACACTAGATTATTAAATGTTTAGTATTTCACATTCTGAATAGTAAAACAAAATCACAAATCAGAAGGCACCATATTCTTATATGTGACACTTAATATATTGAGACTCTAGAAGTTTATGATTTGCTAGTTTTTCTCTTGAAAATAAGAGCACGTACAGGTGAAGATTTAAGTAACCTTAAGACTAACATATAGCATCAAAGAGAAGTCTGCACTATCATTAAATATTCCTTAGTAGTAAATTTTATCAGATTCTGGAATTGCCAAACAAAAGCACTATACATATATATTTCCCTCTCTTATTGTTAATACGGCTGCTAATCTACAGAGCTGACATGCAAAAAAGTTTTTATATCTAAAGTTCTTTAAGAAACAAACAAAAAAGACCAGAGATCGAAAATAAAAAAACACTCTAATACAATTTGACTTTAACAACAAATTATCAAAGGTAGAATACTTAGCAACATGTAAATTTAACTTAACAAATAATAGTAATTCCAATCAGGAAAAAAAATAGCCCAAATATTGATATGGTGTAAAATATAATTTTTATGATAATTTATTTTTAAAAGTTCCCATTCTCATTTTCCCTCAGCAGCTCCTCGTATCCAATTTTGCTTTGGTGGATTTATTTATTTTAGATATATCATCTTGTGGAGTCATACAACATCTGTTTTTTTGTTTCTGACATACTGTGGTGTCAAGGGTTCATTGTTCAAAATGGCTTTCTTAGTGAATGACTTTGACTTTGCAATGTAGATGTATAGGATAATACAAACAGGGTATGCTAAGTCCATCTACTAGGTGAGTGGCTGGTCTCACCATCTCATTAGGTTAACACTGAATGGTTTCAGCAGCAGAAATTGGAAATCTAAGCAAGAGGAAGTACAAGAGTTACATCAGCCTCAACAGAAAATCAGAGACTAACCTGAGACACAGTTGACTTAGGACTGCTGCTCCACGGAGCTAGAGACAGAGACACTGTAACTGGCAGGACTAAGGGAACTTTGTACTAGTGACCTAAGCCATGAGGCTGAAGGCCAAAGGGCCTGAAACTATGCTTGAGAAGCTGTCTACACTGAGGGATTGCATCCTGCTACTGACCTGAATTATTTCCGGCAAATGTCCCTCATAAGCCCCTACCTGTGAGTACAGTTCTATGAAGTGTGTTATGGCAATGGATTTTGGTCCCAGTAGAGCAGTAAGATTGGTATTAGAATTAGTAGAAGGAGGTGCAGGAGTATGGGACTTATAGAAACTAATTCTGTACTGCAGATGTTGTTGAAGGGGACAGTTCTGCTTTTGTGGCTTTAGCAGAAGCCAGACTTATTTGGTTGTTCCCATACTGCCTATACTCTTTATACATGTATTTTTTTTTTTTATGAAATGTTTTAAAAGTTTATCTATTGGTGAGCTCTGGTGGCAAGAAGCTGCACTGCAATCCCAGAGGTGAGTGGCTCTAATCCACCAGATTCTTTGCTGGAGAAGGAGGGGCAATCTCCTCCTGTACCAGTCAGATCTGATTTAACAGTACACACACAAAATATTTTTTAAAAAAAAGTTTATCTATGCAGTATCATGTAAAAGAATGTGAATTTTCTTTCTGGCCAAGTAGTATCCCACGGAAGGGATACATTTAATTATGCTTATCCTTTCACCAGCTGATGGATACCTGGGGTAGTTTTCCCTTTCTTTGGTGATTATGAATAGTGCTGCTACACCCACATGTTTGTCTTCAGGTACCTCGGGTATATATCAAGAAGAATTGCTAAGTTATATAATAATTTCGTGTTTAATTCTTTTAGGAATTGCCAACCTTTTGCACAGCAGCTGCTTGGACCCTTTTAAAATCTCATCAGCAATGCAGACTAATTCCCAATTTTTCCAAATCTTTACAAATATTTGTCCTTTCCTATTTTATAAATAATAGACACCGTAACTGGTATTAAGTGTTATCTTACAGTGATTCTAATCTGCTTTTCTCAAGTGACTAATTATGTTGAATATTTGCACATTATCATTTACTTTGGAAAAAAACATGAACATGAATTCATGAATTCTATTTAAAATAAAAACCAACTGTATCCAAACTTGGAAAATAAGTGCTCTTCTCTTAAGAAAAAAAATTAAAAAAAAAAAAAATTGGTTTGCTGTACAAAGTTCATGTACATTTTGTTTCAAACTATCATTTATTCACATTGTTTCATATTATTACCATTCAGTATGTTTTATAAAATTAATCATTATTGAATTATGTCCATTACCCTGTCTCTCCAGATTCCTGCCTGATCTTGCCATGGGAAAGTCTGCTGTTAGGGACCTCTCCAAAGTGCTGAAGAGCAGTGGTGTCTCTCTGGAGACTAAGGTGCGTCTGATACAGGCCATAGTCTTCGCAATCACCTGTTATGCATCAGAGAGTTGAACAATGACCAAGGAGGATAGAAGGAGAACTGATGCCTTTGAGCTGTGGTGCTGGAGAAGAGTACTGAGAATACCATGGACTGCTAGGAAAACAAATAGATTTGTCCTGGAGAGGGTTAAACCGGGTGGCTCCTTGGAGGCAAGGATTCTGAGGCTCTGTCTAACTTACTTCGGACATGTAGTGAGGAGAGACCGGTCCTTGGAGAGGGACATCATGCTTGGGACGGTGGAGGGACGGCGCAGGAGAGGAAGGCCCTCTATGAGGTGGATTGATTCAGTGACTGGGATAATTGGGATGGGAGTGTCAGAGACAGTGCGATTGGCACAGGACAGAGCGGAGTTTAGGGCTGTTGTACATAGGGTGGCTATGAGTTGTAGGCGACTCGACGGCACATAACAACAACAACAACAACAGATCCACCAAATTGCTTGACTCTATGATTTCCCCTGACCATCCTCACCCCTCTTTTCTAACCCCTTACCACCTTGGATCCTCATACACATTTTAGTAGTTATCTTTTTACTTCTACAATAATGGTTTTATGCAGTAGCTGTCCTTACGAGACTGAGTTAGTTCATTCAGCAAAATGCTCTCCAGTCTCTCCCAAGTTACGTAGTAATTTTCAAAATTGTTGCTCCTCAGTGCTGCATTGTTTGAATGCACCACAATTTCTCAATCCATTTGATTGTGGCTGGGCATTTGGGTTGTTTCCATGGTCTTGTGATGGTGAATAATGCTGCTGTGAATACTGGTTTATAAGTATTTGGGTCTCTGTTCTTCCAGAGTGGTTGTACTCTTTTACAATCCCACCAAGAGTGTATGAGAGTTCCTACCTCTCTGTTTCCTCTTCAACATTTATTACTTGCTGTCCTGTTAAACTTTGCCACAGCTACTGGGGTGAGATGGTATCTCATGGTTTTGATTCGCATCTCTCTTACTGCCAGTGATTTTGAGCACTTCTTCATGTGTCTGTTTGGTTATCCAGATGTCTTCTGCTGTGAAAAGTTTTCCCAAGTCTTTTGCCAATTTTGTAATTGGGTTACCAGTCTTTTTCTTCTAGAGGCCCTGCAGGATTCTGTAAATTTTTTTTATAAGACCCTTGTCTGAGATGGTATTGCCAAATGTTTTTTCCCAGTCTGTAGGTTTTCTTTTCACCCTGCTGGAAAAAAGGTTTTGATGCACACACTGATAACCTTTAGAAGGTCTTATTGATCAATTTTATCCTCTCCTGGCTGTGCACTTCTGGCTCTATTTGTCAGCCTTTTTATACCATGGGCTAGGCCTTCTAAGCTTGGTCCCACTTTGTCTTCTGATGATCTTTATGACTTGGGGCTTTACTCCTAGATCTGATTCACCTTGAGTTAAAGACTCACTGGATGGTCAACTATCAGCCAGTTCCAACTTGACAATATATATATATGAAAGCTTTCCTGTATTATAGCCATATTTCAGATAAAAACAAAACACAGAAATACTTAACAATTAATAAAAGTAAGTAAGTCAGAAGAGATGCTTTATTTCCAACAACAGTTTCCAACAGAAATAGCCAGGGGCCAAACCATGACTGTATCTGGGAATTATAAATTCACCTCCCAGTTACTACTAATAATTGTTAGCCCACAGGATATTTTATTTTATCTTCGTTAAAGGATTCTGTACTAATAAATGAGTAAGACCACATTATAGCTTGCTAAATACCAACCAGGTAGGAAAAATACTACTTCTTCCCTCCAAGCTGAGCATAAAGGGGGAAAAGGCTCAGGAACAGCATAAATAATTCCATGAAAGCAAAATAGGCTTGACATCATAAACAGAGCTCAGCATAATTCTGCACAACTTTTTTTCCAAACAAAAACAGAGAATTCTGACATAACTATGAAATGAAAAACAATAAAAAGGTAGAAATCAAAAAGTCACTTACTATGTATCATCTTCAAGTGATAAAACTGTTCACTTAATAAACCCTCTTTTATGAAAGCATGTTTTCTGTAAATATCAAGGAAAAGGTGAAAAAAAGAGAAAATTGTTATTTCTTTTTAGTCACTAAAGAACTCTATTACGCATCAAGTTTTATTAACTATCTCAAAAGTCTGATAAGTGATTTAAGGAACAATCTCAACGGCTCCTACAAGATATTAAAATGTCAGGCTACAAATTTAAGGTATCTTAGTCTTTAAATAATAATCTTATGGGCTGGCTAGCTACCAAGTCATGGATAAGAACAGATACTAGTAACCATGCCAATGACTTAAAAGGGAAGTTCACTATCAAGGAAAAAAAATACAAACCAAAATCCTTTCCCTAGAAAAGGTAAAGTGTATGAAAGAAGTTGTGTAAACATTATGGGATTTTAAAAGGGAAAGGCAAAATGGAAGGAATTTTGCATGTTAGAGAGAACAGGCACATGCAATAAACAGAAAATTAAAATTAGCAAAAAAATGATAAAAAGATGAGAAAAAGAGTGCTATAAATATTTAACCACTGATAGAGAATTTTTCACACTGGCAGAAAGCATTAAGGATCTGATTTGCTGGGCAAAACCAATTTTTTATTTTGCATCAGCTTTCTCCATAAGTTCTGAGTGAAAAAAAGTTAAGCATGCAGATCAACTCAGCTATGCTAGTTTCAAATATAAATGAGTCCAACAGGTCACAAAGTAATGACTAAGTCACTCTCAGTAAGATCCAGGAAAACAGGTAATTCTAACAAAACACAAAAATGCATATCCTGTCTCAGGAGCAACAATTCTGAAAAATAATACTTAACTTGGGAAAGACTGAAGAGCAATATGTTAAGTGAACTCAGTCTCATAAGGACAAATATTGCATAAAAATAATAATTGTAAAAACAGAAGTGTAACTAGTAAAACATGTATGAAAACACAAGGTGGGGAAGAGATGAGAGGTGAGGGGTGAGAATAGATAGTGGTGAAACCACAGGGTTGCAGTTTCGTGGGTGGAGGGAGTGGAAAAAAATGGGAAGGATCTGGGGGGATCTTAAAAGTGGGTAATGATGGAGCAAGGCCCAATGGTGATCTGTTTTATAAAACACAATACATGGGAATAATTGTGTGAAACACAGTATGAATGAAGAATAGTGTGAAACACAATGTCTATGAACTTTGTAAGCAAACTAATATAAATAAAAAAAGGGGGACAAAATACATATCCTTGATAGCAAGTCATAGAAGCTGTACAAAGACTGAAGCCTGTAAAAGATTCTACTTTATACATGGGGAAAAATCTAAAACCCAAAAAACTTCTCCCTTAAAACCTTACTGTTGTTAAGTTAGAATTGATTCACAGGTGACTCTTTCAGTGGAGTTACTGGAAGCTGTAAATCCCAAGGAGATATCACAAAGAGTGGCCAGTAGTTTTGAACCATCAGAGGAAATAGTGCTTGACTCAAGAGTAAGCAGTGCAACTCTCTATGGACTAGACCATCACAGTACTCCTAGTGGTGAGATTTCCATTATCTGCTATGCAAAGAAATGGGAACCTCACCATTCATAGTTTTATACCAAATTTTATTAAAATAAACTCGATAATCAATTTGTATAGGATAGGGTCATGGAAATAGATGGTCTAAAAATTCCCCCAAAACAAGTAAGATTTTTACATTTAAAAATTAAGTTTATTTGAGAAGATATCTGCAGCTTTCTTCAGATTGTCAAAGGCCCTTAATCTCCAACAGTTAAAACTCTAAGGAGCGACCATGTTATAAATTAAAGGAAAAACAAGTAATTTTGGGGACTTTTGTCAACTGTTTTAGTAATTAAATGTACTCTCTTAAGAAAATATGCTAATGAGTCACACCATTAATTATGACCTTGATGGTTTACTTAAAAACTTCTGCAGAGCTCTAAAAAGATTTTGTGTCAATATAGATGTAAATGTTTAGAACAAGCTAGTAACTAAACTTTCCGGCACAGTACAGGAAGATCTTTCATGAGACAGATTGACACAGTAATCATAAACAATAGGTTTAAGCACCATAGTTATTATGAGGAAGAGGCAAGATTAGGTACTATTATTTTATGAACTGCCGAGACAAAACAAACTCAAGAGCCCCTACAACAGGCACTTCAACTTAAGGACAACTCCTACTTGCCCTTTAGTCAGTGATTTGGTATGATGTGAATGGGTTTTGTCATGGCTATGAAGTTAAATAAGAACAGATTTTAATTTTTACACTGTAGAGAATGATCACAGTAATGTTATGTGCCATGGGGTTGCTTGCAACTCATAGTGACCCTATGTACAATAGCTGTGAAACCTGCTCTTTTCTATGTCAACTTTACTGTCTCTTACACAGCTACCCTCATTACTCCAGTCACTGAATCCAGCCATCTCATCAATGGTTTTTCTCTCTTTCTCTGTCCCTCCACCTTTCCAAGCATGCCATCCCTTTCCAAGGACTGGTGCTTCCTTGCCACATGCTCAAAATACGTCAGACAAAGCCTCAGAATCATTGCCTCCAAGGAGCAGCCTGGTTTCACCCTCTCTAGGATGAATCTGTTTGTTCTCTTGCGAGTCCATGATATATTCAACACTCTTCTTCAGTACCACAGCTCAAAGGCATCAATTTTCTATTATCCCTAGTCACTGTCCAGCTCTCTGATGCATAACAAGCAACTGTGAAGACTACGGCCTGGATTAGGTGCACTTTAGTCTCACAGTAATAGGCATAGAAAAAAATTAAGGGTCAAAGTCCAGGAGCCTGATAAGTGAAACTATATCACGGGCAGGACCTTGGAGAGCCATACATTTTCAAAGCAGAGTAGTTTGCTATCATCTTTCAGTTGGCGGCTGTCATCTTCCAGTGGGGTATAATGTTTAAGTTCAAAATACATTTCATGTTTATGTAAATTTTTTCTCACTGCAAAACAACTACACTAACTAGCAACAAATTCTTCATCACAATCACCTTCACTTCCTGTAGATGGAGCTTCTAAAAGTTGCAAAGCAAAGGAAAAAAAAAACAAACAACACAACCAAAGTTGCAAAGCAGGCTTTTCTTACACTAATGTAAAACTCAGTAAGAAGAGTATGCACCTTTCAACGGACTTACAAATTCTTAAAGACATAGGATCAAATTTCCTTCATAACCCAAAGACTACCTATAACATTATTCAGTATAAGACTCTTTAATTCCCCAGGAATCAATGGAATACCAACTGTCGTGTTCCAATGAAAAGATAAAGCCCTAGATATGTTCACTAGCCTAAGCCAAGAATCTGGAAAAACTAGCTGGAAGACCTAGCCAACTGACTGGAAGAAATCCATAACTGCTTCCACTTATAAAAAAGGTAATCTAATCAACATACAACAATGAATAAAATAAAAACTATTGTTAATTAAAAGGTATCCAACAGGATGTAGAAATTAACATACATTAATTAACATCATTAATATCACATACAAGTAAATTCTCGCTGAAGATTATAAAAATGACTGAAACAGCAAATCAACGGAGAAATGCCAGGAATTTTGGATGGATCCAGAAGAGGTCCTGGAATGAAGTATATCACTGCTGATCTTAGAAAGAACTTGGCTAAAAGCAGCAAATACCAAAAAGGTTTTACTTTGTTGTAGTCTAAACAGACCAAGAGAGCAATGCATGATTTAAAATCAGGGAAAGTGTCCATCAGGCAATGTTGTATCCTTTCTCCTTACCTATTCAGTCTGCATGCTGAGCAAATCATTTGAGAAGGTAAGCTATATGAAGAATAAGGTGGCATCAATAATATTAGATGACTCATCAACATTCTGTATTGCTAAAACTAAAGATTACTTTAAGCACTTGGTGCAGAAGATCTAAGACTACAGTCTTCAATGTGATTACTTTTCACTATCAAGAAAAGAAAAATCCTCACCAATGACCCAAAAGACATCATGAATGATGAAGATTGAAGCTGCCAACTATTTAATTTTCCTTGCATCCATATTAGCATCCATGGTAAGAGCAATCAAGAAATCAGAAGATAAGCGGCATTTGGAAAAAAATCTACTCTCAAGGACCTCTCCAAACTGCTAAACAAAATGGTATCCTTTTTAAAAAATTGTCTACTAGTTTATTTACAAAATTTGAATACACTGTTTTCAAGAACAAATTCTTTCAATTTCCCTCATCCCTCTACCCAACAAATTGTACAACCTCATGATTATTCCCCCTCTCCCTCTGCTTCCAACCTCTCCTACCCTTCTTGGATCCTTATTCTACAATAATGGTTTTATACAGTTATTTGTCCTTGTGCGACTGCATTAGTTCACTCAGTATAATGCATTCCAGTCCCTCCCAAGTTAGGCAATAATTTATAAAATCACTGCTCCTGCGTACTGTAAATGGTATCCATTTAAAGACTAAGGTGTACCTACCTGAGCCCATGCATGGATTTCAAGTGCTTCCTATGCATCTAAAAGTTGGACAATGAACAAGGATTAAAGAAAAATGGATTCCAACAATGAATTTTTATGTTGGAGAAGAGTACTGAATATCCCATGGACTGATAAAACAAAAAAGTTTGTGTTGGAGAAAAGTGCAACCATGATTCTCCATCAAGGCAAGGATGGTAAAAATTTGTCTCAAATATTTTGAGCAAGTTGTCAGGAAGGGCCAGTACTTGGAAAAAGACATCATGCTAGGAAACGTGGTAAGTGAGCATGAAAGAGCGAGACAGAGAAAGGAAGACCCTTAACAAGTTGTACTAATAAAACAACTTTAAAAATAAGCCTGAACATTACCAGAGATTGTGAGGATGGTAAAGGATAGAGCAAGGTTCAAATATGGTTCCTTAGGGTCACTATAAGTCCAAGTCTACTTGATGGCATTTAACACCATTGAATTTGAATACTAAACATTTCAAGGGGATTATGTTAAAATATGGCAATGGTTTTAACAGCAACAAACCTAAATATGTTAAACTTTCTTTAAACATCTGTTACAAAAAGTAGAGAAGATCTGCTACAACAAAGACCTCAAATCCCAAACCTCTATTAGGTTTCTGAAGCTATAAATCTTTACAGGAGATTGCCAATCTCTCTTGTAGAGCACCAGGTGGATTCAAACTGCTGACCTTATGGTTAGACACTATACTACAGGAGCTCTTTATTACAAGGGAAGCAAAATATGAAACGTAATGGGTAGTTTCAATTCTAACTGTTCAAGAAGAATGCTGTGCTCTTTAGTTATTTTCTACTTTAAATCCACATATAACTAATGTAAACATATTCAAAGTGTAGGGTGAAGAATCATGCTTATTCATTAACTATTAACTGGTTTCTGAGAAAAAAAGTAGGTTTCAGAAATTATAATAAAAAATGTGTAATGCTGTAACATTATATGTTATAAAAGTTTCAGGTAGTAAACAAAGAAAGAAATAGAAAACAATGATTTTCTTTTTCAGCAAAGACTGCTAGTGTTAGGTACTGCTGTGTCAACTCCAACTCCCAGCAACCCTATGCCCAACAGATTGAACCTTGCTTGATCCTACGCTTCGTTCACAATCTCCAGGGTACTAAAACCACGGTGGCTGTTGTTCTTGTTAAGTGCCAACAGTCTGACTCTGACTCACAGTGACCCTATGTACAACAGCTCCGAACCCTGCTCTATCATAAGGCAACCTCATTGTCTCTCACACACCTACCTCCATTATCCTAGTCAGTGAGTCAGTCAATCCATCTTATCCAAAGTTCTAACTATCTATTCCTTCTTTAAATTATCAAGTATGCTTAAAAAAAAATCATTTAAACCCTAATTACGAAAAAAGGGGGGGAAAGGTACTTTTTATATAACTAACTTTTAATTCTATTTGTTTGGATCCCACCCTCAAATTCCATCACGGACCTTATATAGCTTTTAGAATTGTCCAGACAGGAGATCTGTTTGAAAGAGCTTTCATTTTTGTCTTTTATTTTTCTTGACTGTCTTTTTACTTGAACCTATAAGAAAAGGAAGAGCATTGAGAACTATAATGCAGTACGATAAATGTTACATTTTCAATTCTCTCTGGAAATGATAACAATGTTGAATAAAGAAGTAAAAAAACATATGCTTTATCAATTTAAGCATGCTACACCTTAAGTTTTTAAGTATGTTAGGCTCATCAAATAGTGACAGACATTTAAATAGATTAAGTATGAAAGAGAGATACAAACACAGACATTTGTATATATATTATTGTTAAGTGCTGACAAGTTGAATAAAACTCATCGACTCCGTGTGCAACACATCTGAACACTGTCCTGTCCTGCACCCCTGTACCATCATTATTTCAGACATACTCAAGCCCTTTGAGCAATCCCTGTGTCAATCCATCTGGCTGAGTGTCTTCCTCTCTTTCATTGATCTTTTTACCTTTCCCAGCATGAGAAATGAACACTATTTGGGAAAGTCAGAGAATCCAGTAAGTAGCTAACTTATAGGCTGATCTTAAAAATGGGTATAAATCTGTCAAAGGAAATAATGTTTAAGATGGGGAAAGAATGCAAGAGGTATGTGTCTGCGGAATAGTGGGGAGCTAATGTAGATATGGAAGAAAATAGCAGAATAGGAGGGTGATGAAATATAACCAGTTTGTGAAGAGTCCTGGATAAGAAATTCTAGAGGCATTTTTTTTTTTAATTTATAGAATTTTAAAGTAAATTAATGAAATGATCGATTTTGGTAATGTTGTCAGTATATAGAAAATAAATCAGTTAAGATATTATAAAAGCAAAGAAACCAGAAAAAAGGTCTTAAATGGTCTAGATCTGTGATATCTAACAGTCGTCACTAGTCACATATGGCAACTGAGCACTTGATTTAGAGTTCACTTTGAGATGTTCTTTAAGTATAAAACCAGTACCAGATATCAAAGACTGAGTACAAATAGAATGTATATGCTAAATAACTAGAAATAAAACAAACAAAAAATATTACATGTTGAAATAGATTAAATAACCTACACATTAAATTTTAAGTTTCTTTTTATTCCTGTAATGTGGCTAGAAAATATTTTAAATTACATAGTAGCTTGTAGGTATATTTTTATTGGAAAGCACTAGCCTAAATGATGGATGGCATGAAGGCCTGTAAGAGGAAATAACAGGATTGAAAAGAAACAAATTAAAGACAATGAGCAAAAGGAATCAGCAAAGATGAGAGAGTAAAGGGAGAACTTTCAGAAATTTCTGATCTGAATGACAGATTGTGGTACTACTAATAATCAGGGCTTAGAGATGGGGCAGATGAGTGTATGATTTGCTCATTTCATCTTGAGGACAATAGGTATTCTAGTTGGAGGTAAGTAGCAAGTAGATATATTTAGTTATCAGGGAAGAGATCTCAGGACTACTGACGGCTTTAGAAGTCAACTAAATATTGTTGTTGTTAGGTATCGTCAAGTTGACCATGATTCATAGCGACCCTGTGAACAGCAGACCTGAAACCTGTGTCAATGATGTCCTTTTTCAAGGGCTGGACTCTTACAACATGCCCAAAGTAGGTGAGATAGAAGTTTCATTGTCCTTCCTTCCAAGGAAAGCTGCACATTTAAGACATATTTGTTTGTTCTTTTGGATAGTCAGAACTTTTCCCTCAATGCCACAGCTCAAAGACATGAATTCTGACCCAACTTTCAGATGCAGAGGAAGTAACTGGAAAAAAACAGGGCTTACATCTGATACATCTTAAGTTTCAAGGTGACATCACTGCTCTTCAGTACTCTGGAGAGGTCCCCAACTGCAGACTTACCCATTACAATATGCATTTCAGTTTCTTGACTGCTGTTGCCAAGGGTGTTAACTGTGGATTCAAGCAAGATGACATTGTTAATCATTTTGATCTTCTCTTCATCTATCAGGATGCTACCTACTGGCCCAGTGGTAAGGATTTTTGTTTTCTTGATGTTGAAATGTAATCCATATTGAAGGCTATAGTCTTTGACCTTCTGAAATAAGCACCTCGGGTCCTGCTCGATATGGGTGAGAAAGTTGTGCATCTGCATACCACAGGCTGTTGATGAGCTTTCCTCCAATTCTGATGCAACATTCTTATTTATAAAGTCCATCCTCTCAAACGATTTGCTCTTCATAAAGATTGAATAGGTATGGAGAAAGGGTAAAGCTCTGATGTACACCTTTCTTGATTTTAAACAAAAAATGCAGTGTTTACTTTCTGTTCAGACAGCAGTCTCCTGATCTAGGTCTAGGTTTCATACAAGCATAATTAAGTGTTCTGGGATTCCAATTCTTCTCAATGTTTGTTGTAGTTTGTTATAATGTACACAGTTAAATGCCTTTTCATAGTCTATAAAATGCAAACAGACATTCTTTTGGTACTTTCTGCTTTCAACCAAGATTCATCTTACACCAGCAATGTTATCTTTGGAGCCACGATCTCTTACATTTCTAACAGTCCCCTGTCAATGTATTGTTCCAGTATTTTTTGGATGCTCTTCACGCTGACTTTATTTGCATGTGACATTAATGATACTGTTTGGTAATTTCTGCAATCTCTTGGATTGCCTTTCTGGAGAATGGGACCAGTTATTTGGCCAAATAGCTGTGTTCCAAATTTCTTGGCATAAACTGGTGAGTACATCCAAAGCTGCATCTGTCTGCTCAAACAGGTCAACTGCTCTCCTATCAATTCCTGTGGTCTTTTTTTTGTACAGTGACTCTGTGTATCCCTTCCATCTTCTTTTGATGCTTCCTGGGTCATTTACAAACTTGCCCACTATAGTACCAACTATAGTAACCAACTATAGCTATTGAACTAATCAAGATGATTTAGGGAGAGCATACTAGAGAATTAAACAGAAGAATGGAAGATTTTATGAGGAGTCCCAATGATTATAGTAGAGAGATGGCAGAGAACACTGTAAAAAATCAGGTAAGTAAAATATACAGAACCACTAAAGGATGTCCTTGAAACTAAATGAAGTTGTCAACAACATTATATACTGAAAATAAACCATGAGATTTGGCAGTTGGACAAATATTCTTAACTTTAATGAGAGCAGTGTGGGTAAAGCAAAATTATAGAAATGAAAGCTAAATGAAAACATAAAGCCACTTAGAGTTGTGTAAAGGAAGTACAGACTTTTTATTCAGGAAGTTTAGCTGTAAGTAGGAAAAAGTGCCACACTCAATTCTTTCCAAAAGACCGTAATATCAAAGCACAATATTAAGAGAACACAGATTACCCAAGAAAGTTTAAACCTGTTAAGATAAGCACTGCACCAAACTTCTAATTAAAGTAAAATATTTAAACTATGCATTTTATTCCAAGCAACAAAACAAAATTCAAGGAATAAATTTAATTGAAAATTATCTTTGTGAGCTAGTTTATGATAATGAATCTTTAGCAACATAATAATACAGTCAAGAGAAATAGAGAATGTCTTTCAGATCAACTATATTTTAATTGAATATAGTATTATATCCTTACATTCATAGATTTTCTTGAAGTTGCACTTTTAACATTTCCATATGGTAAGAAATGCATATTTTAAGTTGCCAAGTTACACAAAACATGTCTGTATATATTACTTTAATTATACTCTGGTCTATTTCTTACATTAATCAGAAGTCATGTAGTAAAGCTATAATAAAGTATATTTTTACTGAAAATAGGATAGTTATACACTGCTTCCATTTACTTTTCTACTCACATGTAAAACAATCAAGCTAATGATGATATCTGGGAAAAGTTTATTCTCATTTCCAGCTGTTCATGATGTTATTGATGATACTTCAAGAAATTACCTTCCTGCACATTTTACTAAATCATTTCTTCCTTCTTTTATTCATAAACTAAGAAATTTGTTTCTACTTCTGTTTATATGAGCACAAAAATTTAAACATATATCTTAATCATGGCTTAATTTATTATTAACACCAAGGAAAGGTATATATATTTTAAAGAAGTTATTAAAAAAAGCACCACAACAAAAAGTGGACTTAACAAAAGATCAAGGTTATCTGCTCATACCATTCTGAATTATTTTGTATTCATTTAGGGAGAACCACTGAATATAGGGATAGGATTATTGTACTGTCTAATGAAGGCAAATCTCCAGGCCTGTTTCTACCAGAGTATAGCTAGTACAATCCAAATTGCCAACTATTTGGTGCCATTCAGAGACTTTTCATGTCACCACTTAGAAATTAAAAAAGTATTTTTTAAGGTGTCCCATATACCTCGTCATCATTCTCCACCTAAGCATTTTCTTCAAGTACTACCACTGAAGAACAAAAATATCATTGTAAAGATTTTCCATAAAAATGTAATTTCTACATCTATTTTTGTTGACTTGGTCATTAAATATTTTTAAATATGAAAATGTAAGCAGTCTATAATTGAGACTATAACTTTTTTAGAGCATCAGAGATATGAAACATTTACTGTGGCAATCAAAAAGTAATTCCTTGAAATATTCTGTCTTAGGGAAGGCAAAAGAAAAAAGGTTCATAATACCGATATACTTATTAAAAGTTCTGGAAGCCTTACCTTAATACAACCTCCCAATGCACTAAATTTAAAAACTGCCCGAAAAGGTTTTCGATCAATGGGACATGATGCCAATGTCTGAAAAAAAGGAAAACATATTTCAAGTTTTTTAAAAACAGAGCAAAATGAAGCTAAGCCAAGCATACATAAGTTCATTTTAACAAGAAAAATCAGAAAAGAATAACACAACATCCCTTTTTCCACATCATAAAAGAACTGAGACACATTTAGCTTGTAACATGCCTCACAGCAAGAAATTTTACATTTGTTTCATTTTACTCAGACCTTCTAGCACCTACCATTACATGCAAGGTAACTGGAAAACAATTAAGATTTTCTATTCCATCTGTTAAGATCTGCTACCCATGATATAATGAAATAATGAAAGGAGACAACGCTAAATTCAGCAGCTTTAAGATCAAAGGTTGGCTGCTATGCTAAATTTGCAAAACCAAATCATAAAGAATAGCTTTGGCACGCTCTGGTGGCCTAGCAGCAAGAAGTTGCACTGCAATCCCTGAAGTATATGGTTTGAATCCACCAGATGCTCTATTGGAGAAGGAGGGACAATCTCCTCCTGTACCAGTCAGATCTGATTTGATGGTACAAACAAATAATAATAGTTAAAAAAAAAAAAAAAAGATAGCTTTAATGAGTCCCTTACAAATCTTTTTGTTTTATGACTTAACATCTACCATCCCAAATTAGTAATTTCTAAAAACATAATATAGATGAATTGGGGGAGGGGTTGGGCAGGGAGCAAAGTGCAACAATGAATGACTGGAAACCCTATGTCTCTGTAAACTTTCATTAAAATTAATAAAAATTTAAAAAAAAATCGAATTTAACAAGAAAAAAACCCCAAAACACAATATATAGTCATTTCAAATATATGAATAAAATTAAAGATCCCTCTCATTCCGTTTCTCAGTCATCCGTATCTATTCCCTCCACACACGCAGGTAGTTTAAGTCTTTTGGATATAATCAATACACATACATATAAATGTATAAATTTTTTCCTCAATACAACCTAGCATCTTTATTTATATGTTGGGATGAATTCTGCCCTTTTTCTCTAAATTATGCATCTCAGATGGGTCCATAATAGTAATCTAGAGCTATCTCATTCTTAACTGCATGTCATAACAGTCTGAACTGACATCTTTTTAACAGTCTATTCTGTCTTTTTAAAATAGGTAAACTGTTAATTTATTGGGTGGCATTCTTTATGTCTTAAGCAAACTGGCTCTCGCTCTCTAATTCTAAATCAATTTACTTATTTTGAGATAGTTCCTGTCACTTCAAAATTATTTTACATCAATTATAACTAAGAATTTCTCTGATAAACACTTAATGCTATATGTAAGGGTGAATCTGTATTATATATAAGGAGCTTAGAGGCATAATTGCTAAATAATTGAGTTGCTGAGAGGTTGCAATCTGCAGCCTTAAATACTTTATGGGGAAGTTCCACTCTTGAGTTCTACCAGAGCTCCCCTAGACTTTAATACCAAGTTTAAAATATCACAATATAATTAATAAAAATAACAGTAGATGATTCTTTCCTCAGTGCTATGAGAAGATATTTTCTGAAACAAACAGTATCTTAAAATTAATAAAATTAAGGATTATATCTATGCCTTTATTCTGACAGTAACTTCCCTTTAATGAAATCTCACTCACGTTCAAGTCAGAATTGTCAAGTCAGAACAATTTACAGCTGACCTTCCAGTGGATTTTCAGAGGCTGTAAATCGTATGAGAGAAGACGGTCCCTTTTTCTCCCATGGCACAACAGGTAGATTTGAACTTCTTGCCTGTGAGTTGGCAACTCAACTCTTTACCCATTAGGCCACCAGCGTGCAATAAATTACATTACTTCCTAGTGAGAAAACATTATGTTCTTTTCTTTATTATGGGCTTTGGCATATACTATATTTATACAAGAAGAACAGGTAGAATAATCAACACATGAGCTTGAGGAGGTTAACATATTTTCACAAAACTTAAAGAGTTACCTTGGAATTAGCCAAAATAGAAACGGAGTTATTTTTAATCACTTTGTTAAATGTAATTTTTTTTTCTTGTCCTAAGTATGCCTGGGTAGAAAAAGCTTTCCACATGTGAATTAGAAAATGTGACAGTATCATATCAAATCAGTTCAGACCAGCAGAAGGCAGTTCAGCTTACTTCCAGTAACATGGATTTAACATGCTTTCCTTACAGAAAGCTCAACCTTAAGAAGCTTTGCTATAAGTAGCAACAAAGCTGTCAACATCTTTTAAATAATACATTGCAAATAACAATTCTAGTTCAAAGAATACAGTATCATAACTACCTCTGTAATTATTTTAACATTAGCATTTACTTATGAAATCAGGATACCAAATTAATGTAATACTGCATTTATAGTTTAAAAGATTATTTAAAAAAGAAAACCTGCCACATAGTATTTTAAGGTTAAAAAAATTATTTCTAATTAAAAACAAATTTAAATAAGAATTCTGCAATGGATAAAAGAATGCAAATTTGAAAAAAATAATGAAAATTTGTTTTCTTTAAAATCACTATGACAAGTAAGTAATAGTAGAGGTTATGAATGTATAGCCTAGGGTCAAATATGTGACCTTGTACAACTCTGAATAAATGATACAGATAGCCTCTCTGTGCCTAAGCTAGGTCACTTATGAAATTATCTTTGAAGGTTTTATGAGGATTAATTGAATCAATACATGCAAAGCACTCAAAAGATGTGTGAACCTCAACTAGCTTAACTAAGAAGAAAAAACATATGATTCATTAAAAAGAAAGAAAAAAAGATAACCAGCAACATGATGTGAACATATGTGGGAAACATGACTTTTTAGAGATTTTTTTAATTGGAATTTGCAAACTTCATGACATATACAGACACTGAAGTATTTATTCTGATTACATGCCAATATGTAACACAGTAAGGTCCAAAGAAAGTCATTGTGTTGAAGAATTTTCTTCTAGATCAAATACTTTCAATCTTTCAAACTACTGAATTATACTATCTAATTTTCTTAAATTGCTTTTGTTGACATTAGCTAAATGGCAGTCTTTTCTTTAAATTTTCAATCTGGTATAGTTTTGTTAACCTCAGCCATTCCATTTTAATCTATTTAAAATGGAGTTCTGAGTAAGAATTTATTTTTCATTATTCTCCTTAGACATAATTGCCAAGGATGTGTCTAAGATTTCATTTACAAAAGAATTCTAGTGTTATTGTAAAAACAAAAATAAAATAAAAAGCAGTATGAAAACCACTGATATTACCACTAACTATAAACATGCAACTCTTAAATATAATTTTTAATTAAGACTATAAAGAGACTTTTGTCTCAAGCTCAGCCACCAGAAACATTTAATAAAACTAAGTTATCCTCCCTAATTAAGGAAAGCAATAATAAGAAAACAAACTTCAAATGGTAGACAAAATATTTTTTGCTATGGCTACTAAAAAGTGATACTATCCATTTCTGACCTTGGAAATAACAGTTTAACAAAGCATTTTTAAAAAGTAACAGAAGGAATTAAGTTCTTCTAACTGAAATCTATATAATGTAGTTTAATAGGACTAAAAGAAAAATTTAATGAAAAAGAATGAAAAAGATTTTTTTACAAAAGCAGGTTTTTAATAAAAGTAGATCTTCATTTTTTTAATGTCCCTAATAGAAAATTTATAGCACTAACTTAAGAGCAAAGTTTAAAAGATATTCCTACTAACAGATAACAATGTAGTAAATATGTGATGACAAAATAGCTTTCATAGAAAAGTTTTACTAATAGACTTTAAAAATAAAGTTTGAGGAAGCCTGATTTTAGCCATTCTTAAAGATCTCTCATTATTATAACTAGCAGATATTCATATGGAAAACTTAAAATATTTAAATTTTCAAAGTACAGTTAGTATTATCAGAATAATTTTTAAGTTGTAAGCCGTAAAATTTAAAGTTAACAAAGAAAACATTGTAACATTTTAGTGTTTGAATACAATCCCAAATTTCTTATTTTATATACTACAAAACCACCACCATGCCTATTTTCTTATATACAACAAATTATCCCTCAATTACTTTCATCTGTCTAATACAGCTTTGATTTCAAGAATTTAAAAATCAACGTAATAATCAAAGTAGCTCAATATTACCATTCAAGTTTGTGATTGAACTAAAAAATAGAATTTGATCACTGTTTTACAGTGTAATAATGTGTATTAAAACAGAGGATACAAACATTTTACTATGAGTACTCTGCACTAAGATTATATTAGTTAAGGAGGCAATTTTGATTAAAAAAAATCTTCCTAATGATTTTGGTAAACCATACCCTAGAGTTCTGCAGCGTTGTAAATTCCCACCTTAGACAAACCCAAATTTAAATATAAGAATAGGAAACCTTCCTTATTTGGGAACTCAGGATTCTTGAATTCTATTATTTCTTGCTTTCTGATGCTACTCTATCCTAAATCACATAAGCTGCCTACAGATAGACCCTCCTAGAGAGAGAGAGAAGCAAGTGTTAAAGATAAGTGTTTAAAGAGTAAATTTCAATATCTATGCTGAGGAATGTCTACCTGTGTTTCATTGACTATGCAAAGGCATTTGACTGTGTGGAATGTAACAAACTGTGGCTGACTCTGAGAAGAATGGGAATCCCAGAACACTTGATCGTGCTAATGCGAAACCTATACTTGGACCAAGAGGC